ATATTAGCTTTCAAGTGTTGAAATTAATTCCCTAGTCTCTGTAACTGTGTGGGCAATGGCCCTACCTGCCCACCTAGGCATTGGTCACACTTCTGGAATCTGGATGGAGGCCCCTGGGTTCTGGGCTTCAGTTTTCTCTTCCTTCTTCAGCTTTGGACGTCCCATTCTCCTAGTCCATGTAACTGTCTACTTTATCCCCTCAATACTTTCAGGCCCTGGTCTTTGGCTTCTTGGGCATGGCGTCTTTGTCTCTTTAGCATTTTTTTTTCTTTGCTCATTTCTTTGGCAACTTTTAAAAATTATTTTATATCATATGCTTACCAAGTTAATATTGTCACATTATCCTTCATTCACATTGTGTTTTATACAATAATTATGGGATACCCCCTCCATTCATTATGTTTTATAAAATGAATCACCACTCAACTATGCCCACTATTTCCATCATTCCAGATTCCCACCAGACCTTTCCCATTTCCTTTACTCCTCCTCTCTCTGCCTACAAAATTGTGTGACCATATGATTCCCCGCCCCACCCATCCTCACACCTCTGCTACCCCTCTGGGATTCTCAGACATGTTTTACTAATTATCTTTCTATTTCTGCAATAATAGTTTTATGCAGTATTTTTTTTTGAGAGACTTAGTTCACTCAGCATAATTCTTTCTAGTTTCTCCCAAGTTATGTAGTAATTTTCGAAATTGTTGTTCCTGAGTGCTGCATCATATTCCATGAAGTGGATGTTCCATACTTTCTCAATCCATTTGTTTGTTGATGGACATTTGGGCTCTTTTCCATGTTCTTGTGATTGTGAATAATGCTACTATGAACATTGCTGTACAAATTTCCATTTCTCTCTTAGTTTTAATTTCCTCAGGGTTTCTTTCTTTCCCTCCCTTCCTTCCTTCCTTCCTTCCTTCCTTCCTTCCTTCCTTCCTTTCTTCCTTCCTTCCTTCCTTCCTTCCTTTCTTTCTTTCTTTCTTTCTTTCTTTCTTTCTTTCTTTCTTTCTTTCTTTCTTTCTTTCTTTCTTTCTTTCTTCCATTAACAGTAAGATTTATTGAGCTGTATCTTAGTACAGATGCTGGGGCTTGCCCATGGTGCTCTTGATGTACAAAGCTCGAACATTCTGCCATTTCTTCTTTAGCAGTGAAACCAGAAAGTTGACAGCCAGGTAGATGTTATAAACAAGTTCATCATCTGTCATCTTCACATGGCCAACAGCCACTGCCAGACACGGGACATTTTTCATCTGGAATTTGATGGTGGACTTCACCCCGTCTACTTTTGCCACCACGTTCTCATCGCAGATCAGCAGAGAAGGGAAATTGCCAGCCTTATTTAGCCCTGGACCTAGAATTCTCGGGATCTGCTTGATCAGGGATTCAGAGGCCAAAAAGGCATCATACTTCTGGGCCAGCTTTTTGACCAGTTTCTTATTCTTGTTGAGTTATTTCAGTGCTTCGATGCCCATGTGGGTGATATCCACAGCCTTAGCTTCATCACAGTGCTGCTGATCCCCAAGAACACACACTGAGAACTTGGGGCGTGGGGTGGACTTAAGCCTGAGGGTCCCCGAGAAGCGCTTGTCCTTCCGAGGGTCACAGTTCTTCAACCTGATCTGCAGTTCTACCGTCTCCAAAAACTTTCTGCGTGTGCGCTGGTTTCCATGCAGGACTTCCTGCACCACCTCGTAGAGGGTGTCATGAGAGACTTTGCTCCTCATGGTTCCTAGCACCGCAGCAACCAGAAAAGAGGGGGTATATTTCTAGCAATGTCAAACTGCCTTCCAGAGTGATTGTTCCATTTTACAATCCCACCAACAGTGTATGAGAGTTCCTATTTCTCTGCATCCTCTCCAACATTTATTGCCACTGCTACCGGGATGAGATGGTATCTCACTGTGGTTTTGATTTGCATCTCCTACTGCCTGTGATTTTGAAATTTCTTCATGTGTCTGTCTATTGGCCACTTGAATGTCTTCTTCTTTGAAAAGTCTTTCCATGTCTTTTGTTCATTTTGTAATTGGGTTATTGGTCTTTTTCTTTGGGAAGTCCTGTAGTACTTTATAAAGTTTTGTTCGGTACCCTTGTCTGACATGTATTGCCAAATGTTTTTTTCCCAGTCAGTAGGTTTTGTTTTAATCCTGCTGGAAAAAGTTTTTTATGTGTACAGGAATTTAATCTTCATGAAGTCCCATGTCTTCTTTTCTTTGACTGTCAGCTCCACCTTTCTGGAACACCTTAAGAAAGTTCTATCATCCAGAAGAGAGTTGGTACAAATTAAACTCTGAAATGTGGCCCCACCTTTTAAGATCTGGGGATGGTGACCTCATCCTTTGAAACCCAGAAGGCTCTGCTTCCCATGCTTTCTTTATTGTTCTGCTGATCCTCTGAGTTGCTCTGTGGAGGTGACTTTTCTTTTTTGTAGAATTTTCTGTAGAATTCCAGGAGTCTAACATTAGTCTTTCCTTTTACTCTTCCTCTGCCCACTTAATCTAAGCTAACGAGTTTCCCTCTGCAGTAGTTGGTTAGATTCATGACTCACAGGATATCTTTGACACATCCTTGGTAAAGATTCTCAGTTATATGTCTTTAGTTTGTACAACAGAGTTTTCTAAAATCTTCTTTTTTTTTTATTTTGCACAGTTCATTCCTAAGTCTGTTTCTTTCCCCTTGCATTTTACTATGATGCTGTGTTGTTGTTGAGTTGGAACGGATCAGAGGCAGTAAATTGCTCAGGTGGAGATTACCTATCATTCTCCCAGTGAGCAGCTGGTGGATTCAAACCACATGTCTTTGATATTGCAGTGCAGCTTCTGGCCACTAGGCCACCAGAGCTCCCTCTTTCACTGTAAGTAGCAAAAACCCCCACATGATCCCTTTAAAATCTTGCTTAGAAATCTCTTCAGATAGTGACACAAGTTCATCTCTTAAAAAGTCTTACAAAAAAAAATTGTTTAGAGAATACTTAGAATAAAATTTAAAGAATTATAATAAAATCTAAATTGTCAGTTAAAAAAAAGTCTTTTACCAAATATTTGAAAATAATCAAGGCAATTCTTTCCCACTGCACAATAAGCATTGCCTTCCTTTCATTGTCCAATTGTATATTCTTCATTTTCTTTTACCATCTCACCAGAAGCACATTTGATGTCCAGATTTCTAGCTTCATTCTTTTGTTTATATCAAACGTTTTTCCTTAGATGAGAGAAACTTCTCTTTAGGTCTCATTTCCTTTAGAGCCTTCATAAAAATCACTTTTGATAATCATAATTCTATAGTCTCTTCAAGTTTTTGCTCTTAAAAAAGTAATAAACTCAGTGATATTGTATCAGAACCAACTCATAGTTGATCATCCATTCAGCTTTTGAAGCTGTGAATGTCATGGGCAGAGATTGCCTATCTTTTTCCTACAGAATGGTTGGAGGTTTCGAATCACCAAAGAGGAATGGTCTTTGAGTTAGCAGCATAGCGTACTATGGGCTCCACCACCAGGCCTCCCTAAAGTTAGGTGCCTTCGAGTTGTGTGTGACTCACAGTTACTTATGAACAGCAGACCTGAGCCCTGTCCTATCCTATTCTGTCCTCATCAACTCTGATAGACTAAAGTCCATTGCTGCAGTCACTGTGTCAATCTATCTCATTGAGGGGCTTCCTCTCTTTCACTGACGCTCCACCTTTCTAAGCATGATGTCCCTTTCCAAGGGCCTCTCCTAACCGCATACCCAAAGTATGTGAGGTAAAGCTTCGCCATCTCTTAGCGTCTCTAAGGAGCACTCCGGCTGTACTTTCTCTGAGACATATGTGTTTGTACTTTCTGTCATGGGATAGTCAGTGTTCTTCTCCAACACCACAACTCAAAGGCGTGCATTCTTCTGTCATCCTTATTCATTGTTCAGCTCTCAGATGTATAGCAAGTGCTCCCTATTAAGCATGTTAAAAGTCCTCAATTCTAAAACATTCCTCAATTCTAAAACTCCTTCTTACATTATAGGTATTTGTTAGTGCAGCATCCCACTATTTCAGTACCAAGTTCTGCTTTAGTAATTTAGTACTGCTTGCTGTGAAAAAGTACCAGAAAAGAATATACTTAGTAGACAGATATTGATTAATTTATTTCTTTTTATAGTTTCAGAGAGTATGCTGTTGTTTTTAGGGGCTGTCAAGTTAGTTCTGGCTCATAGAAAGCCTGTATTATCCACAAAATAATTGTCTATGTTAAACTCATTATTGTAGTTACTATTTATTTCATTGAAAGTATACTTCTTTTACACTGCAGCTTTACTTTAAAAGCCTGCTTTAAGAACATTATGTCTTTCCCAGAGACTAGTCCTTTTTGACAATATGACTAAAATACATGAGACAAAGGCTTGCCAACGTCACTTACAAAGAAAATTCTGGCTGTCCTTCTTCTAAGAGATACTGGTTCATTCTTCTTGTAGCCCAAAGCCTATTTAGTATTTTTCACCAATATTATAATTCAAAGACATAAATTCTTCTTTAGTGTTCTTGACTCATTGTCTAGCTATAACATGTATACAAGTCAACTGAAAATACCATGACTTGGGTTAAGTGCACCTTACCCCTAAAAAACACCATCATTGTTTTTTCCCCTTCAAGGGAATCCTTTGAGAAAATTTGTTCAGTGCAAAACACCTATTAATTTCTTGACTGCTGCCTCTATGAGTGTTAAATATGTACCCAAGTAAAAGTAAACCTTTGAAAGCTTCAAGCTTTCCTCCATTTACCATGCTATTGTTTATTGGTCCAGTTATGAGAATTTGTATTTTGCTTATGTTGAAGTATAATCCTTAGTGAAGGATGTATGTAGGCTTTGTCCTTCATCAGTAAGTGCTTCAAGTCTATTTTGCTTTCAGCAAACAAGGTTGTGTCATCTGCATATTACAGGTTGTTAATGAGTTTTCCTCCAATCCTGATGCATTCCTTTTCATACAGTCTATCTTTGTGGATAATTTGTTCAGCATAGACATTCGA